ATATCAACAGAAAAGTACTGAAACGATGCTGCGTGCGCGAAGAGCTCTAATGGGGTCACGCGTGATTCGCGCGCCCCCCGAGAGAAGAGAGACCTGAATCGGGACGTCCCAGCCCCGAACAGGAGAGCATACCTTACGGCCCCAGGACGAGCGACAGCGCAGTAAGACAGCAATGATTGAGATGGAATAAAAATGATGATAGAGTTCTGTAATGAAGAGAACTCAATTGTTTTTCAGAAATGGATGGAAGTAAGCATGGTCCTAATGAGATGGAAGGAGAGGAGAATAAAGCAAGGCGATCTAAAAGTAATGTTTCAGTTCTATTTTCTCTAGAAACGAAGCTACTTGTAGCTTCACCTTAGTGTCGCATTGGAATACCTGATATCCCCACCCCCTACAAAAAAAGAACATACTTTAGGGCGGGCTGAGGAACAATTCAAGGACAGAAAAGAAGGTGAGTATTCACGAGTTTCCCTTCTCAGTTCTTGTCAAAGGCCACACAATGACGTGCTGTCAGCAATTTTGTCAAGTATGAAGAACATTTATGATATTGGTCCAGTATTAGGACGAATAGGGCAGTAGGAGTTGATCGGGCTTCTTTGAATAAGCCACGAGATCGACTTCCATTATGACTAGCATGGAGCAGGGATTCCTGACTTTCTAACGAGGTCAGTAGTATGTGGTCAGCAGACCGGGAGGAGCGTTAAGTCCAGTATTGCTTGTAGCCGGAAAGGCGGCTGTAAAATGGCGATAGTAAGTTTTAACAAAATGACTGAAGGGAATCATTCCAGACAACCGTTATGAACTGGACAACAACCATGGAAAAGTTGACGGCGATAATGCGAGAGAAGAAGGTAAGGGTGATAGGACTTTCAGATGTAGTCACTTCTTACCATCTTAGGCTTCTATCATATCAACTATCGTTTCCCCTAAGTGCTTTTATCGATGGGCGGGGCGTACTCAAGGATGGGCGGTGCATCACATCACTTGAAAATTTGAAAATTAGTATTTTTCGAGATGGTCGAGAGGGAAAAGGCCAGCTGCACGCTGCAAAAGGAATATTTCTCTTTTCCATGGAAAAATTGAAAAGCAGCCTAATAACAAACTTTTCGAAAGAAGGAGCCCATGTACTCTTGAGCAAATTGCCTCTAAAATAAATCAGAGTTGAAAATTGGGTCAGTAGAAAAGCCTCCGTAAACACTCAGAAAACTCAATAATTTTGTCGTGGCAGGAAACATTTTCTATTTAGGAACTGGAGATCGAGATATGGAAGCGGAGAGGCGTCATCGTTCTGAAGAGAAGAAATCAAAAAATGGCATACTCACTACTTTGCCTTTTTCGCTCTTTTTTGGTTTCTTATGATAACTGTAGATAATTTGTGATTTCAGGCCCCCTTTCGTCCAAGAGATCTGGTAGTGAGCTGAGAAAACTATTTCATAAGGCCTCTAAACAACAAGTACGTGTCAAGGTTTTTGTGAAGATTACCCTAAATATTAATTTTTTAGATAAGATAAAACAAATAAAACAAATCTCGCTGTTCTGCTCTACAGGCTTTTTTCAGCTAATCCATCACCTACTGATAAACGTTCCAAATGGATTGGATTTCTTGGCTCAACTTCTGGAGAACCATGGCATGTGGACCTTCTGTCAGGTAACTTCATTCATTCCTGAAAATCATGATTTCAAAAATCATCCCTGAACATACTGGATGAAAAACGAGGAGGTCTCGCCCCAGCTCAGCTCATGACTATGAACCTACTATAAAGCCTGTTGCTGACTACATATGATCCCCCCAAAGGGGCAGATGCTCTATGGGTACAATGGAGGTAGCAGCGCTAGCGTGGTGAAATTTCATCATGGCCGGAAAGTGCTCCATCCTCGGTTCCCAACCTTGGATCTGGGTGATATCGTCTGAATGCTCTAGAGGGACTCTAATTAGCACCCATGAATCGAGAATTGTAAGTTTTGGAAGCAATCCAATAAATCAAAGATGATTTTTCAGGTCAACATAATGCTATCTCAGAAGAGCGAGAAGGACATGTGGCGATTCACTTCACTTTTGAGAAAAATGCTTGAAGATACGACACTTCTACCTTTAACTGCCCACTCTTTCAAAAAGAAGGGTGTTACTCAGTAAGAGCTACACTTTTTCTTTGGCATGATTGGGGCTTTCTACACTTCAACGGTTCTTGAAACAGATAGCGTGATTATAAGGTTTTTTCCGATGTTTTCTTTTTTTAACATGCTTAATTGTTGCTAACTTATGAAAGTAAAGCTATCAAAGGAGCTCCCTGAATTTTTGACTTCAAAATATCATATTACTATAGTAATCGATCAGTTATAGATATCGGATGGGTTTGGGGTATCGTTTTGAGACGGAAATGTTTGAAATAATTTCAAAACAAATGAATACTTTTTTCAGGTTGTTTTTGGTGGACACTTCACCTCAGTGCGTTGACCTATTCTCCTTTATAGAGCCGGTTGTGGTCGAATGAAGGGTGGCCTTTGTGAACATTAAGATGAGAAAAGATAAATGTTTTGTAACGAGTTCTGTGTTTGTGTTTATTTGCACCGAGTTGTGTGTTTCTGTTGACTATAATAGAAATTTCTTCTAAAAAGGTGGAATGGACACATTTGCCATCGCTCATGATCGAGTTGGCCTAATTGCATGGCCCTAGACCATTTCAATGTAAACATATGCCAAATGTGCACAGCATTCTTCGGCTGTGGGTTCTTCCAGCCGAACGGCGTGTCGCTTGGCACTACGCCACCTCCACCTGGCCAGTGAGAAGTGGAAATGATAATTTGTTAAAGAAGATAGCTGATGAACACTGCACGCCATGCAATCCATTTTTTCCCGAATTTTTTTGAGAGGATTAGAATCGTATTCCGCCTAATCAGAGTTTTGGGAAGCGCAGGGCAACACTATGGTCACCACTTCACTCCCAGACAAGAGTGGATTTATAGTTCGAAGGACAAACATTTATTCTCTTTTATGGAGCATCGGCGGTCTAAGTGTAAAAAAAAACCATAGATTTATTCACGCAGATTCAATAACTTCCTGGTCAAAAAAGATGTTCGGGAACGCTGAAAGTACTTAATGATACCTCAAAAGTGGATGTTCAGTTTTCACCTGAAATGCCCTATAATGATGCGATCCAGCGATAAGTTCGGCTACTAAGATGCGCTCAGATAAACCCGGTGCCGATCGAGACCGTTGCATTGTTCGTGACCAGAAAGTTCTCCAAGTTTGGCGATCTTTTTCACCCCCTAGCAACTTCATGTGAGCTATTTTCTACCAAAAAAGAAACCCGAAGCTCTCGCCAGTTGAACTATCCGAATAAGGACTACTCCTTGATCATATATTCATGAGCAGCTTCAAGCCGCTTCAGATTCAAATGCCGGAGTCCATGACGGAGATTTTATTGCCTCAGGGAGGTAAAGTTCGTTTTGATTGCTTTTTGGTTCATAATGAAGGATTCTATTTCCACTCGCTTAGGTCAGGGATGTGGCTAAAAGCTTCTTTCTGTAGAGCGTGGTTGAACACATACATGCAACACATCCAAGCATAAAAATTTTCATTTCTAGAGACCTGTTCCGTTGAGTCAGTGCATGTAGTGACGAGCAGTCACGACGACGAACAACAGAATGATTCTACGCTATCCGCTAACTGTAAACCATATGCATGGTACATGCTGGCTCTTATTTACACGATCTTTTCAAGCCTAGTGAACAGAGGGGTGAGGAATTCTATCGACTTACGATATTTTGTAATATTTTTTTTATCTAATTCTCTGGATAATCAAAAGAAATAAGGGTTCCATAAGAAGCGGGCGGTAGCAAAGCGATTATAAGTGCCCCCATGGTTCTTAATCCTATCTGCTTCGAAAACGAGAAATTCTGCTGGCACTCTACGTTTTCCACTCTTTTTCGTGAGAGTTTTTTTGAATACTTGGAGCATCTTTTAGTCATGTTGCATTTTTTTGAATTTTTACTTTACATAAGAAGGGGAGAGAAGTTGTTTTGTGGATAACATATTACTATATTTATAAATAACTATTACGTTTTACCTAGAGGGGGAATCAGATCGCCTTGGCGCGCTCTCGCGCTATCGCAGAGTATGAATGGGTGAATGGAGAACGCAATGTACTGGTCAGATGGTTGCGGGGCAGTTTAAACAAAAAAATACGGTAGCCGTTTTTACGGGACTGGCCGAATTATTGAAGATTCATCAAACACGTGTCCTGCGGAATTCGGCTTAAGACCCGCAACCCAATACACCCTTTCTAACCGTTCAGATTCACATCTTTTCATCCCTTTTGTGGATTTCACTTATTGTATTACTTACAATTTTTTACATATCTATTTTACAATTCTATTTTACTTGTTATCTACCAATTGAGGATCCCTCCAATATGTTCGAAAAAAACAATCGATGTCTTCAATCGCGAACGGATGGAATGCACGTTGAAGAGGTTGCTTATGAAACTTCTCATTATTAAACTCTCCATCGTTGTTTTAATTATGAAAGTTCGATTCCACACTTTCACTTTTTTTTCGAAAACCTTGCTGTTCAGAAGGCTTAACGCTCTTAGGCACTCTGAAGACACTGACTCCTCCCTTGTGGACTAATTTGCAATCTATTTCTATTTCAGTTATGGAGCAAAATCCCAATGATTGTCAATCAGTGCTCAGAACGACGGTATCTTCGGATTCGAGGATACAGTAATCGGGATGAGATCAAAGTACACGTAATGCCCAGCAAAGAAGTACGTCTTGTCCCCGGAAGAATCTTAATCTTCCCTAATCGATCGTAATACTCAATGATTGAATTTTTCGGATTAGTGATAGTTTCTGGGCCATTACAGTAGAAGCCCCAAACCTGTAGTGCCCTAGTTATCGTAATGGCCCCGCCCACCTAGCGAGCTCCCGATGGAGCCTTCTCCGGTGCTGAATCGGCAAGAGGGATAACCCAAAAAACCATTCGACGCCAAAAGTTTGTCAGTTTGTAATCCTTTTTGACGAAGGGATCAGATACGCTCACTATTTCGGTCGGATTTACTCAAAAGGGCCCAAAAATGAGTAGCGCAACCAGCCAGTCACCTTTCGGTCCTTTGCTCGGCTTTCGAGCCGGTAATCATGCCGGATTATGAGAGTACATAGCTCCATATAACTCGACTGTTTTACTTTTACATTTGTAGTTATTGCTAAACCATACTACAGTTTCCCAATCAGTTAATGTGGAAGATTCCGGGAACTCCACTTTTACAGGCGTTTTCCAATGATCAAAGTTGCTCAATAGTATCGCTAGGAGTTGGACGAGATATCCAGGTGGAAGTGTCAATGAAGGAAGACATGCCAAATTGTTCATTTTTTGGTGCCGATCCTGTCAAGGAACCGAATCAGGATATGTTCGAGACGGTTAGTTCCAACTCCTAAGATCGGAATCTTAACCTAGGAAAAGTAAATCTGAAAACCAGCGATGATCATCAATAACCAACAATTTTTCTAGGTAGGAGTCTTTTATCATATAGCCGTTGGTGGTAAAAATGGGACCTCATTGGCTACTGTACTCGAACCAGACAGTAAGCCTTTCTTCTTCAAACACAACCGTTTTTCAAAATGCCTATTCAATAATGACTTTAAGCTCGCAGCTACCGTATCCGAGAGGTCAATCACGTAGATATAGCAACGTTTCTCGGAAGATTCATTAGAAAACAGGTGAATATTGATGATCCGAGCATTCGAGAACTTCTTTACCATCTAATTATTGGTTAGAATTAATAAAAGGGAAGTGTACGACGGATTCCCTAGCAGCATGATACGAACTGTATGTTCAATGAGATTTCATTCTATTATGACCTTCTCCAACCAATAAACCAGTTGGAGTTAACCTTTACATACTGCGAAGTTCTCAACATACGTTACTGAGTTAAGCGCATTTGTGTTGCGAGCAGTCGCGACGCGTGTCTGTATGGTGTGTTTATAATTCGCGAAACGGACAAGGTGGCGTGCGCGGCTAACAATATGTATTAGGATGCGTAATGGTCAGTTGTTGAATTATCATACTGCGATTGCTGTCTTACAATCTTGTTGTCTTAAATATGAAATTACAAATTTTTCATTTTTGGTTCTTTTTTTCTGAAGGGTCCTGTTTTCGAATAAGTTTTTTGTTTAGTTTTATAGTTTTTCCTATAGAACGAATACTGAACTTACATTCATCTCTCATTGGCTTTGAACTGTTATGTTTATGCTGTATATGTTTAGTATATCGATCAACTGATGATCGATATCGAGTGGGAAGAATATGACGTATTACCGTTTTTAGTGAAATCTGGAGATTTGGAAAATTCCGACGTAGTTCTGTGCCAGGTAAGAGCTTTCTTGTTTTCACCGACTTCTTTTTACTGAGTAATTTTGATTTTCTTACTCTTGAAATGGCCCGTACCCATTGACAGCTACTACGCGCAGGCACTGTACGATCTCCAACTCAATAAAGCCACAATAAACCCTCCTAACTTCTCATGCTCCCGAAACTTGTTTACGTGGGGTGGGGATTACACAGATGCTAGATGAAAGGTCAATCGCCCTTTGCAAACCCACGCAATTTGTCCAGCTCAGTTGTTTCTGGTAGGCCATATACTTGAAAGTATTGGTTTCGAAGAAAAAACCCTTCTAAGTGATAACATGCTCATAGATAAGGTAGGCAGTAGGTAGGTAGAAGGCAGTCTTCCAGAAGTGTAGAAGTCTAAAAGTCCAAAGAAGGGGAATGGTTAGCAAAAAGTTAGAGCCCACAGATCACTTTCATAAATCACTTCTAATTTTCAGATTAATGTAGAAATACATCATCCTGACTACGAACAAAAAGTGCTTTTCTTCGAGTTCTTCCTTGAACTTTTGGATGATCGCCGGTACATTCCATTAGTAGCCGACACGATGCTGGGACATATCAGGTAGGTAGCACACAGCAGATTGAAATAACTGGTTTCCACTTCCATGCACAGTCCAGTCCAGCACAATACCAGGGTCAAGCTTGTCCGCACATTGCGAATTCATAAAGCTTAATTAGAGAAATAGGAGGGAACGGCAGTTCCGATACCCCTCCTACTGCTTTCGGTCTAAAACATGAAAACCGTACCAGTTCACTTATGAAAGGCGATCAAATGATTCGGTTGCATTCGATGTACCCTTACTCGAGTAAGACTCCACTAATACTTCTAACCCAGGTAAAGCTTACCAGTAGAAGTACAACTATCAATTATGTAAATCATCATAAATGTGGCTCAATTACTTAATACCAATGAAAACTCCTGCGAAAGCCTTCAAATTATGAATTCCGAATAAAGTCCCTTTAGGTTGTACCTGCTCAACTATGAACACCAGGAATGCCGACGCCGATATGTATCTCCATAGCCTCTGGCTGCAAAACTAGATGATAAATAGTAATAAATATTTTCACTTCTGTTTTTCTCTGGTCATTAGCAACCAACAGGTTTTATGTCGCTTTCACACAGCTNGCTCATAGCCATCGAAGCCCAGCAGCAATTGAGGTCCATCAAACTCACTAACTCCCAGCTTTTCCCACAACCCTCAAGGCATGGGACCACTCTAGGGGATCTATCAAATTGTTGAGATACGATCAGCGAGCACCATAACTATTCCTCGCCTTCCTTCTGCAAATCCACTGCAAGAGTATACAACAAAAGTACAAGCTATTATATCGATTTATTTCTTCGTACATCTGTATCTCACTAGGATAAACAACACCGTGCGAAATAAAATGGATTCACAACAAAGATTTTATTACTTAAAAATATCTTACACAACTAAACAATAGAACAGAGATAGAGCCTCACGGAGCCCAACCCAGATCTTCGACACGTGATAATAATGGAGATCATCGGGGAAAAACGGCTTAGTCGACTTCTTCGATGGTTGGTCCGCCAGCTCCACCACCACTGTGGGCGCCACCTCCTGGCATACCACCGGGCATTCCACCAGGGGCTCCACCAGCGGCTTGGTACATCTTCGTAATGATTGGGTTGCAGACGGACTCAAGCTCCTTCTGTTGATGCTCAAACTCGTCCTTCTCGGCGGTCTGGTTACTGTCAAGCCATCTGATGACCTCGTCACATTTCTCCTCGATCTTCTTGCGGTCGTCAGCCGAAATCTTGTCTTTCAACTGAAACAGGCGATTACAGTGATGAAAAATCAAAGATTCTTCATGAAAACCAAAATGTTATTATCAACATACCTTCTCATCTTCGAGGGTCTGCTTCATATTGAAGGCATAGCTCTCGAGGGAGTTCTTCGCTCCGATACGATCCTTCTGCGCCTCATCTTCGGCCTTGTACCTTTCAGCCTCGTTAACCATCCGCTCGATTTCGTCCTGGAATTGGCATATTTAGTAATCATTAGTTGCCAGTTAGATACAATTACAAGTAGAGGTGATGTCAAATTACAAACCTTAGACAGGCGACCCTTGTCGTTGGTAATGGTGATCTTGTTGTGCTTGCCAGTCGACTTGTCTTGTGCGGAGACGTTGAGAATACCGTTGGCATCGATATCGAATGTTACCTGAATGTTTAAAGTCAGTTACTTATGAATTTATGATTGTAATTCACCGGGATGTGAGAACTACTTACCTCAATTTGCGGTACGCCTCTCGGTGCAGGTGGAATTCCGGACAGCTCGAACTTTCCAAGTAGATTGTTGTCTTTGGTCATTGCACGTTCTCCTTCGAAGACCTGGATGAGCACACCAGGCTGGTTGTCAGAGTAGGTGGTGAATGTCTGGCTGGTCTTCGTTGGGATTGTGGTGTTCCTCTTGATCAGAGCTGTCATTACACCTCCAGCGGTTTCAATACCGAGTGATAGAGGAGCCACATCAAGAAGGAGCAAATCCTGCACAGCTTCTGACTTGTCACCGGAAAGAATAGCGGCTTGAACTGCAGCTCCGTAGGCAACAGCCTCATCAGGGTTGATCGACTTATTGAGTTCTTTTCCAGAGAACAAATCAGATAGCAGCTTCTGGACTTTTGGAATACGAGTTGATCCTCCAACAAGAACGATATCGTGGACCTGGCTCTTGTCCATCTTAGCGTCTCTCAGCGACTTCTCAACAGGATCCATGGTGGAACGGAAGAGATCAGCGCACAGCTCCTCGAATCGGGCACGAGTAATGTTCGTGTAGAAATCGATGCCCTCGAAGAGTGAATCAATTTCGATCGAAGCCTGAGACGACGATGACAGAGTACGCTTGGCACGTTCGCAAGCTGTGCGGAGACGTCGCAGAGCACGAGGATTGGTGTTGAGATCCTTCTTGTGCTTCCTCTTGAATTCGGCGACGAAGTGGTTCACCATACGGTTGTCAAAGTCTTCTCCTCCAAGATGGGTGTCTCCAGCGGTGGATTTGACTTCAAAGATTCCATCCTCAATAGTAAGGATCGACACATCGAAGGTACCGCCTCCAAGATCGAAAATGAGCACGTTTCGCTCGCCGGTTCCCTTCTTGTCTAGACCGTAGGCGATGGCAGCAGCGGTAGGTTCATTGATGATACGAAGGACATTGAGACCAGCGATTGCTCCTGCATCTTTGGTGGCTTGACGTTGAGAGTCGTTGAAGTATGCTGGTACTGTGACGACAGCATCCTAAAAAGAATAATTTTTAGAAATGGTTCGCCGGAAACTCTGTCCTATGATACCCTTCCCCACGTCGACAATCATATCTATTAAATGATTTACCTTGACGGTTGATCCGAGGAATGCTTCTGCTGTGTCCTTCATCTTCGTCAGAACCATTGATGAGATTTCCTCAGGGGTGAATACTTTGGTCTCTCCTTTGTATTCGACCTGGACCTTAGGCTTCGATCCCTCGGCTGAGATGACTTTGAATGGCCAATGCTTCATATCGGACTGAACGGCAGGATCGTCAAACTTGCGTCCGATCAGACGCTTGGCATCTGAAATACGACTATTCAAAAAATGTTATTACACAAACCATCTGAATGAAGAACGATTACTCACCGAATACTGTGTTGTGAGGATTCATGGCCACCTGGTTCTTGGCGGCATCTCCAATAAGACGTTCTGTATCCGTAAATGCGACATATGAAGGGGTTGTGCGATTACCTAAAGGACTTCGATAACAAACAGGTAATCCATAATCACTTAAAAAGATACAGAAGTAACAAAACAAACTAAAACTTGCCTTGATCGTTGGCGATAATTTCCACTTTTCCGTGCATGAAGACACCAACGCACGAATACGTGGTGCCAAGATCGATTCCAACTGCGTTTGCTTTCGTCATGCTAGCTGAAACATACAAATATGGTGCAACAGTCAAAAATTGCAAACGAAAAACGAAACGGTTGGTGCGATCATAACAAGGCAGAGATACTGATACTACGGCAAACGAGGGTTAGGCTGCTTTAGTAGGTAGTGAACGGAACCTGCCGCTAGGTTGATGGTGTAAACGGCTCATCCGCACCTACACAACGGAGAGAGAATCAGCAGATCCAAGAACGCCGGAAACCAACACCGAGATACCAAAACAGTTGCCACTAGCCGCGCACAATCCGCTAAAACCGAGTCAAGGTCTCCCTACGATAGGGGCGACATTACGCCCAACTAGCCGCCCCCCCAACCATAACCCTAGAAAAAACCACCGAGTTAAATAGAGCAGAAATAGCAGCATTAAGAAGAACCGCGCCTAATGAGGAAATTCAGAAAACCCTCCGACGGAAAACCAAGAACAATCCTTACTACATCACTGAAGCTAAAGAGAGCTTTATAGAGAAAACCGAGTCTACTATTTTCATAAGAGAAAAGGAAGGGTAACCTCAAACCTCAGAGAAAACCTGGCCTTCAAAAAAAAAGTCACGAAAACAAGGAGAACCCGGCCTCAAACGATATCGTCAGCACTTCGCTGAACTCCTTCAAGAGGATGAGGTAACAATTGCTGATAAGAACAAGCTCGAGACAGAAGAGATATAACAACAAACACGATCAGCGAGAGCAACATACCCCAGTAACAGAAGTAGGCAGACACGAAATGAGGCCTACAGCGGGTATCTTGTTTATATATGATTGTTCAACGAAGGTTCTCGAAGCGTGTGGAAAGGAGCGCGTTATCTCGCACCGCCTATTGCAAAACACGCCAGAAAATCGATGACTCATTGCTTTCGATCGTTATTTCTTCATTTTCAATCATTTTTTCATCACCTCCTACATCCACTGAGTCATTCTGCTTGTTATGAAGAACCCGGATCACTGTTTTCTTCGTGCGTTTTGCAAAAAATTCAAGTTTTCTTCGTGCGTTTTGCAAAAAATTCAAAGGACTTCATTTGGCAGGAACATTCGCGAACATTCGGCGGGCTGACGCATATTTTCGTATTTCACCACCCATCGTTTCCAGAAGGTTCTGCTGCAGAAGGATCGATCAACGCCTGCTTACTGCGTAAAATAGGGAAGTTCCTGCTCTTTTGTTTGGAGGTTTACCAAGTTTCTCCAGAAAATTTGGGAAAACTGTGTTATTGAACTTATTTTAATTTAGATGGGAACGGGATTTTAACAGTATGAGGATTTATTGGGTGTAATGAGAAACATTTGACGTCAGAACTGGAAGGAATAAAAAACAATTCTAGCAAGAAAAATATTTTTGTTGTCAAATTATCGATAAAAAAGGAGAAGACCTAACTATTCGTTGAATCAATATTACTTTTTTTGACATAGTGGCATTTATTAATTAATCTGGGCATTTTATTAGTTTTTATACCTACTTTTAAAGCGTTCACTTTTCGGGTTTTCGTCCTATGAGTTCGCCGTAAGTGTTTTGGGCGACCTAATGTGATTTTTAAAGATCTTCTAAAGATTTTCTGAAGATTTGGTGGCGGCTGGTATTGTCGTTCCAATATAGAAAGGTTGATGAAATTTTCCGATGTCAGTTTATTGAATGGTAGAGTATGGATTCTTCTTCTTTTCACCAAAGTTCGTCAGCTAGTGTTCAGTTCTTCAAACCGCTTCAANCACTTTTCGGGTTTTCGTCCTATGAGTTCACTGTAAGTATATTGGGCGACCTAATGTGATTTTTAAAGATCTTTTAAAGATTTTCTGAAGATTTGGTGGCGGCTGGTATTGTAACACGGAATCGTTCCAATTTATATTGAATGGTAGAGTATGGATTCTTCTTCTTTTCACCAAAGTTCGTCAGCTAGTGTTCAGTTCTTCAAACCGCTTCAAAAACTTGGAAGTTTTCGAAAAGGATGAGGTTTGTCGAAAGTTTTATTTCGACATTATCAACGAAAGTTTGAATATGAACACTTGAAGTGACTGATCATGGAAGCTTATACTTACTGTTAATAATTTATTCGAGATGTGAGTAGTTTCTAACAATGGATGTGACAAAGCTATTTGCGGATGGGGCTTGCGATAAGCAATCCTGATCAATCTGAGCAATCCCTGTGAATCACGGTTTGGGTACTTTTGACCTTATTGGATTTATTGGAGTCATGGGCGATGTAAGAGCAGTTGTACTTAATGCAGCTCCTACCTCAATTTTGCAGGGCAGTCTTGTTGCAATGGAAATTGCACAGTCGTGATTACGACATTTACTTCCTTGGTTGGAAGTAATGATTTGGCCCTTTATGTAGATGAATATTCAGCTTTCATATACTCTTGAATATCAGTATGATTTCGAAGCTTAAGGAAGATTCAACAACCCTCATTTTATCACATGCAAACCATTATGGGTTAGGCTTGCCCTACATTTTGTTTGTTTGCCCTTTTCGGGTTGAATGCCATGGGATATGTTTTCAATTTTGGAAGTCATGGTAGCCATTAAAACGTCAGCCTAGAAAGCAGGAGGAGAACCACTTACAACACTCATTTCCTTTTTTGAAATAGCCGAAATGCGGTCAATCTCTGAAGTGTGCTAGGAACCGTCCCCAAAGATAAAGGTCTACGAGGAACAGTACCCAAAGATAATTCTCAATTCGAAGAAGTTGGCTCGAATCCCACACTAAAAGAAAGGAAAAGAGTTGTGGAAATGTTTTTGAGGTATTGGGCTCTAGTATTGGAAAATGTTTTTCTTTGTCTGGTTTTGGTTAAAATGAAAAAGGCTTGAAAAGCCTGTTATCTACACAACACTGCAGTTCAAGTCCTCTGGTTAAGGCTTCTTCCCTGCTTTGCATAGACGGATTGCTGGTAAAATACAATAAAAACTTCAAAGTTCTATAAAATACCATACCATATACCGTTATATGGCTTTATGTTGTTTCGTCTCCGATATTCTGTCTATTGCTTCCAGTCGTCAGCTCGTTTAGAGCGTACTACAGTTCTTGTTATCTTTGGGTCTGGAAAGCAAGAGTTCGCGTCAGTCTTGAGAATCACCTTCAACACTCCATGAGGTCGCCTATAGGTGGCTTCAATTAATGTTGGAAAACGTGAGCGATCAGAGGAATTGAAAGAAGTTGGCACGTTTATTTGCACACTCAAAAAATTTTATTCATCACAATTCTAGTCGCGATGCTGTTTTTGAGTAATAGGATTCCTGTAGTGAGACGTTTCTCGGTCTGGGTACCGGCTGCTTGGTCGTCTTCATTGGAGCTGAAACTGTAAAATGTTAAAAGTTAACTTCGGTTTTGTAATGAATAAGCTCATTTTACTGTGATCCCATTACGTTTAATCTTCAGTTATGACGGAGGGGTACAATCTTACTCCTAATTTTTGCCTTTTTTTGAATTGGTTAAGGTTGCTTTGGTAAGAGTGTGCCAATAAGCAGTCAATTCATCAATTTGGATGAGCAGATTCGATTTTGGGGTTACTCCGACAGAACGAGCAGCACTTTTTTCACTACAGGTCCGGTGAATATGACAGAAGAATACGACAAAGCTAAGGCCTAATAAAGCAGCTCATTTTCGTTCTGACATCACTTTACAAACAATAACTGATGTAATTGATTGAACATTCAGTGGCAATAGACATTTGTGAGCAGCTTTTTGTTTTGCGTTTGAGCGTCCCCAAGTTGAAGGGGATGATGTTTCGATTGGGTTTTCACTTTTGCGCGAGCGTACAGTTGCGAGACTGCTCAAATAATGTGCTCGTAGACGGAAACCGTCGTTGACAGGATTAGGGCCGCATCTCTAAAAGGACGACACCTCAACGCGATTGCCGCTTTTATTTACCCAAGCGAGCTACTCAAGTGACGTGTACCGCTGACCGTTGAGATGGAAGTGTGATCATACAAGCTTTGGATTTCCACCGGAGAGATTTTCGTTCAGTTTTTTCCAAGGATTCCGTCCTGGGATGTTTGAGGAGTAGAAGGCAAACTCATCAGTGGGTTTTTTCGTTGAAGATAGAGTTAACTAGCGCTAGTTGACTAGGATTAGTTAGCTAGAGATACCTAGTATGTAGGGGCTGGCTAATCCCAGATACATGTTAATGTGATTTGCTCAAAAAGATATCGGGGATAAGGCTTAGGTTCAACTTAGGGCGCGATCCATATTGAATATAAGAAGTTTTTGATTGTCTGCACTCGATCTGTCCTTCTGCAGAATTTGCCGGCAGACCCAAAATTATGCTCTTTCTTAGCTCCCAGGATTTCGTTATAAGCGAAGTGGTCTGTATTAAATGCTAGGATGTCTCAGGGAGGATATAACGTGGATTTCCCCGGAGCTTAGCATTAGAGAATACATTGTATGTGTTTCTCTTGGGCAAAATCGACACCACTTTTCCGCTACTTCGAAACCATACTATCGTGAAGTTCATGCTGATATCGCTGGGTAAAATCGTACAAACCAAGGTGCTTATAACGAGAACCTGGTCAATCAGAAGTACTTGAGTGGTGCACAGACTGGGGACTGTTTTCTGACAACAACACTTCGTTGATGTGCGCTAAACAAGTTGACGTCAGCGCCTGTTTTCGCCAACAGCAGCCTGGAACTGCCGCTTCGAAAAAGATTGAGTGGCATGTAAAATTGTTTGGTGTCGGTGTTTAGTCTAGAAAACTCCACGCAAAGAATAAGTAGCTTAATCATGACATCTCTAGGCAAGAACCATGCAGGAAAGGATAAAGAGCAAAATTTTGGGCTATTTTAGGGACAATTATCGGATGTTTTTCAATGTTGGATAGGCCCTGTGCCGCGGCCATCATTGATTGCTGCGCTATCCCTTGTGGTGAAGGGACGGGAACAACGAGAATTACAATGACAAAAATATCTCCCAAATTAGAGAGTGAAAATTGTTTTGATTTATTCCCTGTTCAGTTTCTGCAAAGTGCGCTACGCCATCACATCTGTAAGAGTGCAAAATTCGTGCACAATCCGTGCAAAATATTTGGGACCAGACGGGATTTGAACTTGCACTTATGTTCTTTAGTCGTTCCATTGGTCCATTACACTCTCGGCGCGTTCGTGTTTTTCGCCGACGCAGTGGCCAAAGTATCTGGGTGTAGGCCTGGGGTCGTCTGAGAAGAAAATGTTTTGTCTGTAAGTACCCATGTGCGTTGCGCCATGCTTTCGGCTTCTATTGAGAATTTTCATTACGTGTGTTAACGCCGCAAATGGGACACACAGTGTGAAGCACTGGACTTTTAGACCCCCTAGGCCGAGCCATGGAGCAATCATCTTCTTTCCCTTTTTGTTTGTAAGCAACAAGACTGAGAAATAATCAAAACTACACCTGTGATGTTCTGAAAGTCTGAAAGTTTTGGTGGCCGTTTGTACGTCAGAGCAAATCCAAGCATGGATAATGTCATTTGATCGACAACCAGTATGAATGCGAGAAAGTATGGCCACCGTAGTTGGCAAAGGCCCAGATTATATCTGAAATTGTAGGATATAGAAAGTATCATTGAAAAAAAAAGCGATATTGATCTTATTGTGTGTGGGTCAGTGGCGAAGAGCAGTAACTACATCGACGGCCGAGGGCTCGAACGTTCCTCCGTTCCATCCTACGAATGGATAAGCTGGTGCCAGGCTTGTTCGAAAAGAATGAGAGCATGGGCTTGAATAACAACAGTTTTTCCCCGTTTTTGTGTAGACAGAGTATTCAATTGCTATCGCGATCTTGCATTTGAGTCAAGCGCATGGCGCTTCCCAAATGTCCACTCATCCCGGCATACACTTTTCTAGTTGTGAAGGAGATGCGCCACTTCCATACTAGAGCAAAAACTCCGAGAGGGCTCCTATTCAATTTGGATCGAGCCATGCACTCGGTTTCGACTGAGGAAACTCCACAAGTGGACGATTGATCCGAACAAATGTAATTTCAGTTTTTTTCCATCTCCTCCTTTGAGGTCGAGTCCTTGAAGTTTATTTGACGTGGGTGAATGTTACCAACAAATTGAATAGTACAAATGAGAGTCTTTGTTTTCACGTCAACGGCTGTTTTGATGTTTTCCCGCTAGTCGCGTTCGTCTCAGAGCGATGACGGGCTCAAATGGGTGCATTCATTGTTACGAGAGTTGCCAGGGGACTCACTGCACGTACATTCCAATATATTGTGCAAATAGCAGCAACTAACTTACCTTTTCGAATCGCATATCTCTCGTACACGTGCATGATCCCATCCGGACGGAAAGATCAGACATCCGGCCAGCATTGACAGAACTACAATGGGTATAATGAAAAGTTGAAAAAAAAATTAATTCCAAAGCACCCACATGAGAAGAGATGAAGCCATGAACACAGCAGGAAGACGTATCGATCTCGCAGAAGTACGAGTAGCTGAAAGAAAAAGTAAATTTTTTTTTAACTCAAAATTGTTTTTTGGATTCACATTCCTGAGTATAGAGATAGATGACTGAAGCTCGAATACCAGGACATGGTCAGTGCGCGATTTGCAGACCAACAGGAACTACGTCGTCTAGCGGCTGAACTCAAACTTAAAAGGGAAATCGCTGAAAAAACCGATGGGTAAACCTTCGAGTGTTAGTGGCCAATCGTGTGAAAAATCGTGTACTGGGCTACAAAAATACGTGAATCACAAATATTGAATGGCGTTCCATTCACGTGAGGTGCATGACGCTACATGTGAATAGCTAGCGCCCAGCTGTAAAACGATTAAATGGGCAGCGCCAGGGATGTTGTTTGAGTCTACTTGAAACCATATTATGGCAGTCAAGTATGCAGAGGTAAGCAAAAGTGAGCAATTGGAAGAAAGGCAGTTCGCTTTACCTACCCCCGACCGTCTACAATTGCGGTTGCGCAGTCATCACCAATTAGACAGCTGGATTTGTAGCAATAGTGTATGGTGCTGGAAATTCTATAAGAGGTTTTCAAAATAAGATTGTAGGGCCATCATACAGCTAATATCCTTCGTATTATCTTATTTTTTCCCTCGGAATTAAAATTAGCGAGTAATGATGACTGTAGCAAGGCTCAATTTGCTTACAACCATTAAAGAATGCTCATTTTAGAAGGCAAGGAAACTAACGAACAATGGTGAAAGATTGACTTTTTTGCACCCGAAAGACTGAAGAGGTTGAATATGAGGGGCTGTGTAGTTAACTAAGGATAGGGAAGGAATAGTAGTGGGAGGGCGTTACTCATATCTGTTGGTAAGATCGCAACGAAGGTGGTCAGCAATTTGGGGGAGAACGCCTTTATTTTACTGAGGTGGGCGTATACTGAAAGAGCAATACGAGATGTTATATGAGAGTCCTACAGAAACGGGGGAATCAAGAAACGAAGTTTTTTAGCAGTAGGACAAGGCCTGTTAGAAAGAATGTACTTACCAAGATTGAGAAAACAGCTAATGAACTGAGTATTGTGGCTAGTAGAACAAGAAGTGCTGACAGTTCAAAAGCGGCGGTGACGGTACGAATCCTAAATTACAAGAGTTAAATGATCTTAAATTTGTCATAGCTAAGGAGGTGGAGCTATAGGGCATCCAATGTATGAAAAGGGAAAGACGGCGGAAGGTCCTGCCACACTGTGCTTCCTCATCATTAGCTGAAACGTAGTTCGAAATAACATTAACAGTCGTGAAAGAATATGAATCCACGTGAGAAAATGGAAAAATAAGGGCAAGATGAAATGATACTGGCAGGGTTCTACTATTTATCAAGATTAAAATCGGAGTTTGCCAAGAAATTGTTTGATCATGGAAGTGGAATAATTCTAAAACTCACTGGAACACATTCCACGGACACTCTATCGAACTGCAATAATTGTAGAGCCCAATGTAACCACCTTCGTCATTTCCTATCCAGGATGGGTGAATTAATACGAGAAACTGCAGTACAGCTGAAAAAGGAGGTGTTTCATCTGTATCGTTGCTTTCAGCATTTAGTACTTTTACAATCTCTCTTGAACTGACTAAAGTGAAACAGTCCATTCCACACAGATTTTTTTTAAATATTCTGTCAGCCTGTCTCCACTAATATCGTCATCTCTGTTCAAGGCTCGGTAGCTGCTGACTGGACCCGAGACCATAAACGAACCCCGAAGGGGTCTACCTGATGCTCACACCTCTTCAGAAGGGCTGGGAACGGTCGGCTGATTCGCGACGGGAACAAATTAAGATATTTCTGGTTCCTGTTTAAGCGGGGTTTCGGTAGTGTAAGTGACAGAGCACGGTGCCCTGAAAGGACATGTACGGGGTTCAAGTCCCGTCTGAGTCTGAAATTTTGTCCATAACTCACCAACGTTGTGATACTAATATAATTTGATTTGACTTGATTCTGTTTTATAATTTGAGGTTACAATTGATATAAATCCAAGTCCAAGTAAGGCATCAATTTAGAAAGGCTTCGCATTATTTAGGCATTGCTTCACTGAAGGCACGTTTATTGGTTGATTGGCATTTTTGGGGTTGTCTTTTTTAGGAACCTTCAACCCCTTGAGGATCTAAGTGCCCTTGTTTCCCTTGTTCCATTGCACTTACATCCATTGACGTTTTGTAGGGCGAAAGTTGTTTTGCGAAAAGGCCGGATTATCTGGACCTGAGCAATGTTGATCAGTGCTCGCAAATTGATGAAGCTGTCCAGCTCTTAAGTGGCTTATCGAACCCGAAACTTCTAAAAAGTGATCGGGTGACGCTCTAAGACAATCCGAAGTAAGGCTATGATCCGGTTTTCACTTACCCCACTCGCCGAGAATTTGCGGAGTCTATTTAAAAATAACCCTGAGATGATGTTCCCTAATGGAGCCACCTTTTTAAGAACAAAACTGTTTTCGAGTAAATATCTGACAGGGTCCTGATTTCTTCTGAAACAGCCATGTTTATGACTTCTATCAAGGGTTCAACTAGCTGTAAGCAACCTTTTCGCTACACAGTGATTTTGGAGAAACTTCTGATGAAGGGCTAAGCATTTTTATCCTCCTGTACGTGTTGGACGCGGAAGAAAAGCTTCGTAACTATGGTATTCTGTTGTTCTGTTCTGAGATGCTGTTGTTTCAAATGAAAATCCACTAAAACTTAATCTTGGATCGGGCGTACAGAACCTAAAGTACCTGCCAATGCTCATGGAAGAATATCTAAGAATCATAAATTAATGAAAAAGACCGCAAATTATCACTCACTTGTACTGAGGGCACTGAGTACCCAAATAGCTCCAAGTACACGCCAATTTCGTACATAAGTCGAATAGTAGGAAAGGAGATATTGTCGCATTTTGGTAGGGGAAGTTAAAAATGGGAGAAGGAGACGGTCGAATGGCGAATCACTTTGGAAGCTCCTGACCGTTAGGGGCGGACGTTAGTGGGAGGATGTCACCTCATGCGTGGCCGGTCGCTAGCGTTCAAACACGACTGTCCGCTTGTCAGCAATGACCACTGCAATATCGGCAATGTTAGTTTAATTGTCGAAAAAAGTTTTGCTCTGGAATTTTGTTTAATTCAAGCTATTTCTGTTGTAGAGCAGCTCTGGTATTTGCATGTTCCCTGAGAATGCGCCATGCGTGCGACACTAGGAATCAGCTTTGAAACGTGACCGTAAGATGCTGAAGTGTAGACATAATGGAGCTGCAATTCTCTTCAATTCTAATTATTAGGTTAGAGGCTAAATGACTCGTTCTAATCTATTTTGTATTTTCTTCTGCTCCTTTCCTCTGGAATACTCTATTGTTTTCGAAGTTCATCCAGACGCATATCGCCTTCTGACGTCTAAGTCACCGACACTCACTGTTAGTTTTTATTACAAAGTGTAAAGATTCCCTAAATAGGTAGACTCACGTAAAGTGGTGGTAAATGCCGACACTTTTACTTCAGGAACCCATTCACTAATGATGATACCTTCT